TCCTCGGCGCGCACAGGGATGGTCCAAAAACCAGAGGCGACGTCGAGGGTCGAGAAGTACTTACCATCGGTGACCTTTGGCAGTTCCTGATGGAGCTGAGTCATTGGCCACCTGGATAAAGGTACTTGTTTATTTAGCTTCCTGTAGTCTATGGTAAGTCTCCACTTACCATTTGGTTTTAAAACTGGCCATAGAGGCGCAGAGTAGGTGCTATTACATTGTCTGATTATACCTTTGACCAAAAGGTCATCAATGATCTCCTGGACAGGCTGGTGTGCCGCCAGAGGGATCTTGTATTGTCTGACAAATGTTGGCGGTGCATTGAGTGGGGTTGGGATTCTCACTGCATGGAGTGAGGTCAACCCACAATCTGTTGAATCAGTTGAGAATGACTTTTCATATTTCAGAAGAACTTGGCGTAGTTTGTCTCTTTCTTCATCAGATGTCAGAGCGTCGGCTTGGGCGACCACCTGATCAATCTGTGATGAGACTGTTAAGGGTTCTTGCTCCTTGGGGAGCTCCAATGAATCCCTTTCTGAGTCGTCGGGCCTGTCTATGGGTAAGACACCATAGGTTTGAGGTCCTTGGTCGACATCATCGGTCGAGAAAAGAGCTATGGCCTGTGTTGGTTTTGTGAACCATACTGGCCCAGCTTCTTGACTCGGTACCAGATTGTCTGGGAGTCCTCCCAGAAATGGAATGCCTAGTTCAAAATCATGAAAGTCAGTTGAAATCAACCATCCTAGCATAGTCCTTTTTGGGATCAGCACCTCATCCATGCCAGTGTTACACACAGCAATAGATGTGGTCCTGGAGTCAAGACTCACCTGGTTCGTGGCTTCCACGGACAGTCCCAAGTTGAAAAATGCAGGAGAGGGTTGAAAATATGCCTGTTTATGGCTAATAGCTTGTCCAGCTATTATGTGGATTCGCACCATTAGGTTAAGCACCTGAGGTGGTACTGTGGTGTCTTGGTTGCTAGCAACCTGGCAGGCCTCTGGAATGGTCTGCCCAGCCTTAAGGCTCGCTGTGTCTAGCACAGGAGGATCCTTTGTGGCTGGTTTGAGGGACCACAGCACCTTGTTGATGGTGTCCACGTGGACACCCAACCTTACCAAAATGTCAGAGCCTATGTAGGATGCATGTGGTAAGTTTTGGATAACGAGAAATGGGTGAACCAGTCCTCGTTGATTCCAGTTCAGTTTTAGGTTAATGACTCCTTCTGCGGTCATTACCTGTGAACTATTGGGAACTAATGGAAAGCGGAAAGCTTTTTTAATTAGTTCTAGACCAACGTGTTTGTGAACCAAGGTTTCGTAGAAAGCTTGGTTAATTGCTGATTTATCTGTCCACAGAGACAGTACAGCATCGTTGGTGTGGGACCCTTGGATCTCTACACCCTTAACTACCAATGGTAGGTAGTGTTTGGTGGACTCTGGCTGTTCCAGCTCACAGAGGAGGCTGTCTTGTTGAGTCAGAGTTTGGACCACTTGGGTTTCTTTGGTTTCACATGGTGTCAGAGGAGTACTCACCGGGCTCGTGTCCTCGGCTGAGGAGTCCTTTGTGCCTTCCGCGGTACCTGCTGTTGGGCAGTCTGTGTCACACTCCGGAGGCGTATCTATTGGCAGTGGTTTGCTCACTTTTGTCCACATTGTTTGATCACCATAATCTATAATCGCGTTAAAGCGATTTATAAAATCCTGGCCAACCAAAAATGGGAATGAGTCAACATGGGTCACGTGTACCGGATGGTACAGTGTCATATTGCCAATCTGCATGTGAACCATTGCTATAGCTGTCAGGGTTGTTTTCATTTCTGAGAGACCCTGCATTTCTATAGCACATTCAGAGAGAGGTATTATCCTGTTAACACTGGCAGCGGCCGTCCTCAGCTCCTCGAACAGTTTAGCTGACATAATTGTTATGTCTGCCCCACCGTCCAAGAGCGCTTCGTGTGTGAGGACACCTTCGAGTGTTACTGACAGGTACGCCTTTTTGGCGGCCCCCTTTCTGATAAAGTTACACAGAAACCTTTTGGTTTTTTTCTGACGCTTTTTCACGCGTTCAGATTTATCTGTGTAATCTTGGTTTGTCTGAACCGTCAGCACAGCAGAAGCTGTTTCTGAGTGTTCAGCTTGCGATGACTCGTCATCGTTTGTGTGTGTGTTTACCCCCCCTTCTTCTGATGAGGGGTTGTTTGAGTGAACAACAGTTATGTCTTGGTGTGTTTCACCGACATCTGTTATGTTGTCATTCGCGCCATTAGATGTAATGGGAATTACATCACTGCAAAGTGCTCCTGGTTGGGTTCCCGTGTCAGTGTGTTTCAAAGTTTCTAACAACCTGCGTATTTTCTCTGTCTCTTCCGAGTTTAGAGGTGTAGGGCCTTGTTTCTGGAACTTTTGTGATTTTTTCGCCTCGGTTCGTTTCGTCCGAGGTGGGGGACGGTCAGGTACGTCTTTCGGGGGTTCCTTTACGTACTGCCCCTGCCGATATGGTTTCTCATATCGTTGCGTCCTGCGCTCACCCCATTTACGATAATCACGTTCATCCTCTGAAAGAGGAGCATTTTTGTCCCAACGTGCACCTTCATTACGTGGTTTGTTATTTTGAACAGACTGTTTTCTCTCTTTCTTAGGAGGAGGTGGCGAAGCACGTCGTCCTTCTAGTTCAAGAGAGTGGGGTTTAACCTTTACACTAGGAAACACTTCAATGGGCGTCTTATCATGAGAACATGCTTCAAACACATTCACAGCACACTGTTTAATCTCACTGATGGATTTTTCTCTGAAATTTGCCATCATTTGTACTGATTTTTTAAAATCAGAGTGGAGATTTTTGGTGAAAACAAACTTAAAACCATCATCTTCTTCCATTCCGGTCTCATTTCTGTTACCAAAATAAGCTTGGAAGATTCTTTTGTAATAAACTTTTGGATGTTCATTCTTGCCCTGCGTGACCTTGTCAGCGGCTGGAAAACCAGCAGGTCCCGTGCAAGAGTCATACTCTTTGATCAGAGCCTCACACAGAAGGTTGTAATCCCTCCTCGTTGCATCTGGCAGACGCTCGATGAAGGTGAACACCTCTCTGTCCGAAGTGAGTCGTATCAGACTGATTTTATCCTCTACCGTAGCATTAGGATAAGCTCTCAATCTGAAATCCAGATCTCTGAGGTACGCTTTTGTTCCTGCCGACCCCATAGGGCCGGGAACGAAACGTTGTACATATTTTGAGACTTTCTGCAAATCATCCATTGAAGGAGACTGTATCAACGGTCTCACATGCGTGATTGATGCAGATTGATCAAGGCCTGCTCCTACCGCCCATGGTGGGGGTGGGGGTGGCTGATAAGGAGGAAGAGGTACATATCGGTGCAGTTCTGTCCCTACCGCCCATGATGGTGGTGGGGGTGGGGGCATGGTGTCAGGAGGAAGAGGTACATATTTGTGCAGTTCTGTCCCTACCGCCCATGGTGGGGGTGGGGGTAACGGCGTGTTGTCAGGAGGAAGAGGTGCAACAGCATCTGACTGGAGAGTTTGTGGCTGTCTCGGACCCTTAGACTGTTCGTCTTTGAGTCTCAGACCAGGCCGCCCCATATCAGAAATCTGGTTTATAGCTGTAGCTAAATTCTCCTCACAAGCTTTCAGGTCCTCCTGTGATGTCTGATATTTTTTTATTAAAATCAGCCATCGTCGGAGTGATTCCGTCTTGTCTGCCCTGCAGGCGTCCAGCTCCTTCAATGCGATCTGTAACTGTGCTTGTAGCACATCGTTATCTGCACACGAGGCTTGGTACGCTTGTTCTTTATCCCTAATCCTCCCCTCATATGATTGAGCCTGTTTTAACAGCTCAGTCTTTGAGTGGTCACTTGCTTCCGATAGTGATGCTTCAAGTGCTTGTAGTTTGCTGTTCAGCAAATCAATTTCTGCACTTGTATCTTGCTGTTCTTGAGACATCTGTTCATGATATTGTCTTATTCGGGCCTCGTGTTCACGTTTAAATTGAAGAACGTATTCTTCAATTTCTTGAGCAAACACTGTTTCACGGTCTAACCTTAGTTTGAGGTTATCAGTTTTCTCAACAGCCTTATCGAATAATTCTTTCAGCAAGATTGCAATTTTAGCCAGCTTTTCATAACTGGACTTTGTGATTTCTGCAGAGGTCACACTTTCTGCAACCTCCTTCAGATTGTCCACTAACTCTTTTGGGTTCATGCGCTCTGTCTGAGTCATAAATGGATGTAAGGACGCTCCGAGAAGCGCGAACGCATTCTCCAAGCAGTCCGTGATTCCTTTTGTGTCAAAATCTTTTTCTAACACACCTGCCATGTTTTCACTGTGTAGCAATTTATCTGTTTGAACAGTTGCAAGCTTTAGATATTTTACAGGTAAATATTTGTA